CGGCGAGGCGAGGTCAGACAGTGAAGCTGGGCAGCCGACCAGCCGGTCAGCCGGTCAGCCGGTGAAGGGTCCCATCTGGCCGGTGAAGGGTCCCATCCGGCCGGTGAAGACATTTTTCTCGGGAGGGGAGGGGAGGGGGGAGGGGAGGGGGGAGTGGAGGTCGTCGGCGCGCACAAGGGCCGGAGCTTCTGGGAAGGCAGGGCCCGATTTGGAAGGGCCCGAGAGGCTTCTGACAAGGCATCCTAGAAGCAGGAGGTGTCTCTGAGAGAGAGCCCCCGCCTTCGTAAAACCCCCGCGCCTCCCTGGAAGACCGCCACCCTCTCGCGCCACCCCCTCGTGCGTGACGCCAGAGACCGAGCATTTTCCCTGGGTGCAGGGTTCAGGGTGGGCTCATCATCAGCATCATCATCATCCCTGGCCACTTTCGTTGGCCGCGCCCCGCTCGCAAAGCTTCGACGTGGCCTTCCAAGGCCCTTGCATCATTATCGCGCATCCTGACTATACGGGTTGACTGTACTTGCCTGGTGATCTGCAGGAGCAGCCGCATTTTGTGCATCGGCATGCGTATGCGCAGCGTTGGGCTTCCACTACTGCGCCACTTCGGCACTTCTCCTTGGGGGTAATTAGATAATGAAGTGCTTCCTCCGAAGCCTCATGGGCCCCTCCCATGTTCTGGGGGCGATCGCGCAGAGTCCTCCGAGCACGCCACTGGTGCTCGACAGGTGGACGAGCACGCGACTGGTCCTCGACCGACGAACGAGTACTCGATTGATGCCCAGTAGGTGAATCCATATTTCTAGAATTTGTTGGTGTCCGTTGTACCATGTGACGTTTGGGCGTTTTGGGGTTATGCTGTGCCTGCTCCATGTATCATGCGACATTCGAGAATGTCGTGTTACGTTATGGAATTATTAATGTTTTTGCAGACGCATCTGGCGGTTCTAGTCTGTGCTTCTACGTGATTGAATTTCGTCGCGCCGTTCTAGAATATCTTTTGTCGGTTTGGAAGAGCGCGCAAATGATGCCAGCGGTCGGGCTTCCCAGGCCTCTGTGACTGCGACGAGAGGTGGCCTTGATTAGAGCCGGGATTGGCCTTTCGTGCAATCGGGTGTTGTGTCCGCTAGGCGCGATCCTGCGTCGACACAGGACGTCACGCTTACCCCGCTACAGCAACTTGCCCGCAGCTGTCTTGTGAAGGGAGTTGATGGGTTGCGACGTGTTCGGCCACACGGCTTTTTCGACTCCACCTTCTGCCGTCCGCCCAGAGAAGTTACTCAGAAAAAAAGGGGGGTCAGGAGGAGGAGGAGGAGGAGGAGGAGGCAAAGTCGAAGGGAAAAGCGCATCGGGGGCGTCGGTGAGGCTAGCCTGCAGAAACAGGTTCTACTCAACTGGGTGCCCCTGCGGAGTGTAGGGAAGCGGGGCGGGGGCAATTCCCCCTGGACCGCCTGGGGTGCCGCCTGACCCACAAAGGCCCAGTGGGGCAGGCGTACCCCGCCGCAGGAGGGCCTCGAACAAAGAACAAATCCGAAGGGTCATTGGACGACGGAGGGGAGATGCTGGCACCCTGGGACGAACATCCCCCTCTAGATGGGGGTGGGACCTACAACTACCCCTGTGAAAAGGAGTGAGGAAAAGCGGGGAGGGGAGGAGGCGGGCGGCGGTGCGGGGCGGCGCCGCGGCCTTGAGCAGGTCGTGCCTCCCTTGCCTGGGCGCCCGGCCCTACCCGAGACCCTTCAAGAGGCGGGGAGACAGAACACACATGCACACACACGCACACACACACACACGCACGCACGCACGCTCCACGCACACACGCTCCACGCACGCACACACACACACACACACTGCACACACACACACACACACGCTCCACGCACACACACACACACGCACGCACGCACGCACGCACGCACGCACGCACGCACACACGCACGCACGCACGCACGCACACGCACGCACGCACGCACGCACACACACGCAAACACACACATACGCTCCCGCAACACACACCGCTCACGCACACACACACCGCAGCAAGCGCACACACACACACACGCACGCACGCACGCACGCACGCACCGCGCGCACGCTCCACGCACCCACGCACCACGCCACACGCCCACGCAGGCACGCACGCACACGCACACACACTCCACACACGTCCACGCAACACACGCGCACGCACAACATACACACACACGACGCCGCACCCACGCACGCACACGCTCACGCACACACCGCACTGCAAGCACGCACGCACGCACGCCGCGCGCACGCAAAACCCACACAAACCACGCACGCACTACACGCACACACGCACACACGCACACCCGCACACACGCACACACGCACGCACGCACGCCACACACACGCCACACACGCCACAGCACCACACGCACACACGCACACACGCACACACGCACACCCGCACACACGCACACTGCACATACACTACGCACCACAGTCACACACGCGCACCCACAACACCACGCGCTCCACGCTCCACACACGCTCCACGCAACAAGTGCGGCCAACCCATGCAAGCACGCACGCACGCACGCACGCCGCGAAAACACATCTCTCCACACACACGCCGCTACGCACGCACGCCACGCACGCGCACACCACACACACCTGGGAGCAAGCACATGCACACCACGCCACACGCAACACACACGCACACACGCACACTGCACACACGCACACACGCACACACACACACGAACACACGCCACACAGCACACGCCACCACACACACACAAAACCACACGACGCACGCACGCCCGCACACACACACCACATACGCACGCACGCACGCACGCACGCACACACGCACACACGCACACACGCACACACGGCACACACGCACACGCGCACGCACGCACTCACGCACACACGCACACCACACACACACACACACACGCACACACGCACACCTGCACATACACACGCACACAGGCACACGCGCGCACACACACACACACGCTCCACGCACACACACGCTCCACGCACACACACACATACACACACATGCACGCACGCACGCACGCACGCACGCACGCACGCACGCACGCACGCACACACACAACACAACACTCACGACACACGCACACACACACCGCACGCACACACTCGCACACACAACACACACATACGCAAACACGCACGCACGCGCGCACGCACACACGCACGCCCGCACGCACAAGCACACCGCACACACGCACACACGCACACACGCACACACACCCACACGCACACACGCACACACGCACACCTGCACATACACACGCACACAGGCACACGCCGCACACACACACACACGCTCACACACGCTCACGCACACACAACACATACACACACATGCACGCACGCACCACGCACGCACGCACGCACGCAAACACACACACACACACGCACGCACGCACTCACGCACGCACGCACGCACGCACGCACAACCACACACACACGCACACTCGCACACACACACACACACACACACGCACACACACGCACACACGCACGCACGCACGCACAAGCACACACGCACACACGCACACACGCACACACGCACACACGCACACACGCACACACGCACACACGCACACACGCACACTCGCACACACACACACACACACACACACACACGCACACACGCACACACGCACACGCACGCACGCACGCACGCACGCACGCACACATACACACACACACACACGCACACACGCACACACACACGCGCACACACACTCACTCACGCGCACGCTCCACGCACACGCCAAGCGGACCCCCAGGGACCGCCCGACCACACCCCGCCAACGACCAGGACTGGGGGAGAGGCCGCCCACGAACGGCCGGCCACGGAGCAGCCCCTCGGCCCACGAGCAGCGAGGACGGCGGCGGCAGCTTACAGCATTGTCGGTTTAGGGGGCCTCCTCCCATTCCGTAGTAAAACCCGAACGTACGGGCGTACCGTTCAGTTCGTTTCCTGGGCGTCGAGGTCGTGTCAGAGACCCTCCTTGCAGCTCTGTCGACTCCTGTTGTTCCCCCATCTGCAGCTGTAACTGGTAACTCCCGCACTGTGTAGTAAAGCAGTGGGAGACTCCCCTCATACCCATTCAGTAGGTTGGGGTCGGAGTTGTTGGTAGTTTTTGTCGGGCAAGTCTTCATCCTCGGGTAGAGGGCTGTCGTTGTGGGCTCTAGGGCTCCCTGGGGGGCCTCCAGTCCTGTCGGGCGCTTGCACGTCTCACAGGGAGTCTGATGCCGTCTTCTGCTTCAACAACTTTTCTTTGTGCTCCCTGATCTTGTCCTGGAGCTCTTTTCTCGTCTTCTCTCGGGGCTGAGCCTCCCGTCCCGAGCAGCCTCTGCCACGACTCCCTGGAGCCTGGAAGCGGCCCCCGGACCCCGAAGGTCGTAGAAGGGAGGGAGAACCGCATCTGTCTCGGCTTCCCAGTTGGGTCGGAGCAGAGCGGGGTCGGAGGATCGCGCCGCATCGCCAATGCATCGGCGATGCGGCTCGATGTGGAACCGATGGCGCCGATGCATCACCGACGTCGCCGGTGCATCGCCGATGCATCGACGAGGCATCGGCGCTGCTGCGCGATCTTCCGACCGCACAAGTGGTTCGGACATCATTTCTACTGTTGCGGGCGTGGAGGACGAGAAGGAGGACAAGGCGGAAGCAAAGGAGGAGGAGGAGGAGGAGGAGGAGGAGGAGGAGGAGGAGGAGGAAGGAAGAGAAGGCCGAAGATCTGGAGAACGAGTGAGCGGAGTGCCTGCCAGCTTGCACAACTCGAGTTTGGCGCATTGGGCCCCGCGACGAGCAGCGGCGACTGCCTCGCGCTTCCCGCCTGGAGGCAAGCAGCGCGTGGGCCAGGATCCCGAAGGATCCGAGAAGGGAAGGCCTCTACCGCTGGCGCCGCCGGAGGCCCCATGGATGCCCTCCGCCGCCCGCGCGTCGGCCCGCGTGCGCGCGAGCGCGGGCGCGCGCGCCGCGGGGGCAGACATTCTCGCGCTCAACGGCAAGCCGCTGGTCGACCTGCCGCTGCGGCAGCGGCGCGAGGCGCCGGGCGCGCGCCCCGGCGCGCGCGCGCGGGCGCCCCTTCTGCTGGGATGGAGTCGGGCATGTGCCTCCACAGGAGGAGTATTCGAAAATTGTAAAAAAATAGTACGGGGACAATTTTTCGATTACAGTTTCAGAATGCACACACACAATGTTTTAAGTTTTTCTTCGAAAAGTCGCCTGTAGGGGGACATGCCCGACCTGACGCGAGGAGGTTGGCCAGCCCCCTTCGCGGCGCCGAGGGGTGGGTGTCGGTAGGAAAAGGCGGACGTTGGAGGCTGTTGTTTTAGGCTCCAGCGATAGCCCGGGTTATCGGGCCCGCCGCCGCCGCCCACCCCCTTGTGATACCACCTGACTTTGTCGGTCGCGCGGATCCGAAGGGGGTACGCAGCATTGGTGCGCGCGGGCATACGTGAGGCTGCCCTAGAGCGAGAAGGTCAGGCGATAGGCCAGCCTACCCCCCCCCCATCAGCGGATGACCTGGGTTATCGCCGAATTTGTTCTGTGCAAGGGTCCCTTGGCTCAGGGAGCGATGGGCGGCGAGGACCCCCCTTATGACGAGCAGCAGCAGCCTCGCCGAGCCAGCGCCCTGCGCCGCGGGCCCCCGCGCGCGCGAGGCGCTGCTGGGCGCGGTGCGGGAGCACGCGGGCCTCAGGCGCCGCCCACTGCGCGCCGCCTTGGAAGAGACGATGACGACGACGACGACGACGACGACGGCGGCGGCGGCGGCGGCGGCGACGGCGGCGACGACGACGACGAAGACGGCAGCGACGACGACGACGACGGCGGCGGCGGCGGCGGTGGCGGCGGCGGCGACGACGCCGACGACGACGACGACGACGGCTGCGACGGCGGCTGTGGCGGTGGCGGCCTTAAGAGCGCGCCCCAGCGGAGCGACTGCGGCGCACTGTGTGCGGTGGCGCCCAGTGGGCGCCCGCCAGCTCCAGTGTCTTCGCCGCGGGTCCTGGTGGCGGCGGCGACGTCGGCCAGAGTCAGGACATCCAACGTCTTGAATTAGTCAAGGCCGTAGGCAAACGTTTTTGAAGGTTTTCTCGCTTCAGGGTGCCTCCCAGCAGCTGCGCCTCGTCGAGAGCGTCCCGGGGATGCCCGAGTCGCCTCGATGGGCCGCAGAAGGCCCGAGTTATGGCCCGTGAGCCAGACATCCGACGTCTTGAAACAATCAAGACGGAGTGTCTTCGCCGTTTTCAGCCATTGGGAGCCTTCTCCGAGCCCTTCGCCAGGCCCCACGGACCGTCCAAAAATCGGCTCGGGATGAAAACCCGGCCTTGCAGGGCCCGTTTCGATCCGTTCGGTCGGTTCGATTTCGGCTTTGCCGGGCATCGATCCGATGCGCCTCCGATGCTCCAGCGATCTGGTGCGCCCCGATGCTCGCATGGAGCTGTTGCGCATCCTGGTGCGACCGATCCAACTCGATCCCGATGCAGTGCCGTTGCAGCCCGACCCGACGCACCTTCCGGCGATCCGATGTCCCCGTCCGATGTTGGGTGAGCTTGCTTCCGGGGACCCCGCACTGAAGAAGCAGCACAGGAGTTCTCTGGGGAGTCAGCTCCGGCGGCGTTGGGCCCGCGAGCCGCCAGGGAGCCAGTCCTCTCCCTCCTGCTGGCGGCCCTCCTGATCCCCTGCCCCTTCTCCTTGCTCCGTCTCCTCCTCCTCCTCCTCCTCCTCCTCCTCCTCCTCCTCCTCCTCCTCCTCCTCCCTCCTCCTCCTCCTCCTCCTGCTCCTCCTCGGGGCCAGAAACATGCCCACTATAGGAGGAAAGCGCGGGGATGTATCAGGAGGGAAAGGAGGAGGAGGAGGAGGAGGAGGAGGAGGAGGAGGAGGCGGAGGAGGAGGAGGAGGAGGCGGAGGAGGAGGAGGAGGAGGAGCAGGAGCAGGAGCAGGAGCAGGAGCAGGAGCAGGAGCAGGAGGAGCAGGAGGAGTAGGGGGACGAGGGCGGGACGAGACTGCCAACAGGTTTGAGGCGTCAAGGGGGCAGAGGGGGTGCAGGATCCTTACCTGAGACCTTGGAGCTGCTCAACCGTTCGGAGTCCCGGGCGGCCTTGGCTGCTGAGGAGTGGAGGGCAGCGCCGTGGCACGACGCCGATGTGGAGGATGGGAACCGCGCGTGTATACACCAAGGAAGGTCTTTGGGCCCTGGCCCATGTGGCTTCTCAGAAACGCCACAGGACAACGCATAGTGTATGATTATCCGGCCAGTTCTCCAGGTGACAGGTGCGATGTGTAGTGAATGTGTATATATATATATATCTCAGCTATACACATACATACATACACACTGTGCTTGGGCCGCCATGTGCCACTAAGTGGTGGACAGCAATCGCATACTGATGCACCTCCTCTTCTCACTCCCCTCCTGACTCTGCTCCGCGTCCTTCTCCTTATTGCGAAGGCCTGACGGCCAGCGCCGCCGACCCTGAAGGGACCACGACGTCGGCGACGAAGCGGGCGGAGACGGAGGCCGTGGAAGATGAGGAGGAGGAGGAGGAGGAGGAGGAGGAGGCGGAGGAGGAGGAGGAGGAGGAGGAGGAGGAGAGGGCGAGGAGGATGGGGGAGGAGGAGGAGGAGGAGGAGGAGGAGGAGGAGGAGGAGGAGGAGGCGGAGGCGGAGGCGGAGGCGGAGGAGGAGGAGCAGGAGGAGGAGGAGGAGGAGGCGAAGGCCGAGGGGGGCTGGCGCCCCATCGGCTTGCTCAGCAGCCTCATCCGCTTGCTGGGCAAGATTCGTCGGGAGGAGGCCCGGGAGTGGGAGCGCCAGAAGGCGCGGGATTTCTTCTACGGTGGCGAGGGCAAGTCCTGTGAGGACGCGGTCTGGCTCCAGGCGTTCGACGCGGACTTGTCGGCAGCGATGCAGCAGCACTCGATGTCGTCGCTGCTCGACCTCTCCAAGGCCTACGAGAGGGTATGCCATGCAGGCCTTGTGGCCGCGGCTCGCTGCCACGGGTTCAGGTTGAGGCGCCTGAAGCTCATCCTCCGCACTTACGGAGGCCCGCGCCGCCTGTGCCTGGGCAGGTGGATGTCCGAGGAGTTCTCGCTGGGGACCTCCATTGTCGCGGGGTGCGCCTTCGCGACCACGCTGCTCAAGGTGATGCTCCTGACGGCCATGGGCCTCCTCATGAGCAGCTGGCGCACGGTGCGCGCCTACCTGGTGGTGGACGACGTCACGCTGGCGGTCTACGGGCGCTTGAAGGACGTGGAGTTCACAATCTTCGGAGCCACCAGGTGGTTGTGCGAGCGTCTGGAAGCGGACGGTTTCAAGATATCGCTCACCAAGGGCGTGCTGGTCAGCAGCGACCTCGAGGCAGGCAAGAGGACGGCTAGGCGGCTGCGCAAGTGGGACTTCAGGCTGCGCCGTGAGGCCAAGAATCTGGGGGTTGACTTCAGATTGGACGGCAAGGCATCATGGGCTGTGCTACGTGGCCGGCTAGGCCGGTTGTCGGTGAAGGCGTCGCGCAACATGCAGCTGCGCAGCGCTGGCGCCAAGCTGGGCGCCGTCTTCAGATGCGGTGGCCTCGCCACCATTTTGCACGGAGCGCGAGTTCGAGGCGCCCCAACGAAGATCCTGAGCAAGGCCAGGACTATCAACGGCCAGGTCCTCGCGGGGGCCAGCGGACTCAAGAGCAGGACGCTTCAGTTCGCCATCCAATCGGGGCAGGGCTGGAGGCGAGACCCCGCCGTCGCGGCCCCCAGCCTTCCGCTGCTGGCCTGGGCCAAGGCGGTGTATACCAAGCTCAGGGTCGCCAGCAGCATGGACTTGGTCTTCGAGGCGGCGGGGCCCGCCCACTGGGGACAGGTCACGGGGCCCGCAGGAGCCGTGCGCCTCAGCCTCGACAGCATGGGATGGCAGGCGAACTCCCGGCACGTATGGACCACGGATAAGGGGGAGCGGCTCGACCTCCAGGTCTACAGCCCGAAGCTGCTCGGGATGCTGGTAGAGCGTGGAGTGCAGAGGTCGCTGCTCAGGCAGGTGCCTGACCACTTCCACGGGCAGCTGGAGGGGCCGCCGACCATGTACCCGCTGCGCGCGGCGTTGGACTCCCTGCGCGCGCTGGGGGACAAGGAGCAGGTGTCGCTGGTGGAGTCCCTGGTCAGCGGTGGCCTCGTCTCCCAGAGCAACTTGTTCGCGGAGCGGGCGGTCACTTCGGCCGACTGCCAGTGGTGCGGGAACGGCATGGGCACGCACCCCCACAGGCTGTTCTGCTGCGAAGGGACGGCGACAGTGGCGAAGGACATGGGCCTGGAGGAGCTACGCCGTGCAGGCGCCAGGGCAGAAGTCACGGACGTGGGCTTCGCCCAGTGTCCGGCCCCGCTGGGGCTGGAAGCGGCGCCGCCTCCAGATGCTGAAGAGAAGTGCCTTCGCGCGGGCTCGCTCCTGCACGGGGGCTTTTCGGGCACTGCGTGCATTGACGGCTCGGCCCTGTTCCCGCAGACGGTCGAGCTCACGAGAACGGGGTGGGCTTGCATCATGATTCAGGATGACGGCAATATTGTCGGCGGGCTGCTGGGCGCCGCACCAGGCGTGGCGCAGGAGATAGGCTTCGCGGAGCTCTATGCGCTGGTGAGGGCCCTTCGCGAAGCCGAAGCGGTAGAAGGCAATTTGATTGTGCTTGCGGATCGTAAAAATGTGCTGGGCGATTACCTGAAGGGGCCCGCCTGGTGCCTCAGCCCACAGTGCAAGTACGCGGAGCTTTGGCACGAGGCCTAGTTCCGGATTCACGACCTGGGGGAGAGATTCGAGCTCCACTGGACGAGGGCCCACACCAGCTGGGCTGCAGCTGAGCGCGAGGGCACGCCCGCTCACTGGCACATCGGCAATAAAGAGGCCGACAAGCGGGCCAAGGAGGGCGCTCAGCTGCACGGGGACTTCGCGCAGGTCGAGGAACTGGCCACCAGAGTGAGCTCGGCGACAGTGGCGGCGACCCGCCTC